CGTGATGTAACAACCAGCTTGACAAGCATGGGAAAGTGGAAGTGATGTAAAACTTACATTAGCTGCCAAACACCTGGGAAGCAGACAGACGTGTGACTACAGAGCTTCCTTAGTGAACTTACGCATAAGGTTCATGATGGTCACATGAAAACCACCAATCTTAATGTTTTTTGCTGATTTGTTAGTGTGTGTGTGTGTGTGTGTGTGTGTGTTTTCTAATCACACGCCTCATTCCAGGAGGGATGTTTGCTGTAACTTTGTCCTCGCACACTGACAGTAAAGCTGTCCTGTCTCAAATTGTTTGTTGTGACATGTTTGTTTGTTTATTTTGTTTTATTGTGTGGATTCTTCTTATCAATGTTTGAAGCATTTTCCAACTGTATTTAAAATCCGTAATTATTTCATTAATATAATAATAATATATTTCACGTATTTCAAGGCAATGAAATCACAACAACAGCATGTAACAGTCATAAATGGATAATTTAGTGATATTAGTCCATTTTACAGGAGGAACTGGAACAGCAGATTTTTGTGACTTCAGACTTGAACATCGAACACTAACATTGTTTTCATATTAACTAAATGATGGCAGATGTAACTGCAGTGGAGACAAAATCCAAATTAGATTCTAAACTCATAGTGTTGTTGTTGTTTAGTCCTGTAAGTTAGTAGCAGGAAAACTGAACTGATGATGTTGCTGTGGAGAAAACAAGATACACAGAAGATTTTACAATCTGTGTGTCATTCTGCAGACCCTCGATCCTCCAACTATCTAATGGAGGTAATGCGCTGTGACAGAGTTACAAAATGAGAATATTATCTCTGACAAACCCCGATGGCATTCATTGACACGGACACTGTCCATTAATCTCTCCCTTAATTAAAAATTGCATTTTGATTTACATTAATACATTTCATCTTCTCAGGCTTTAAAACCAGGTTTGTCATTTGAGAGTCTGAGTGTGTGCAGTTCAGATAAAACCAGTTCATACCTGATGGGATGCATACTTACTTATTTTTCATGCATTCCTGTTAAAAACTTATTTACTGAGGTTTTACTTTTACTTCACTTTATTTCTATAGCACATATAATAACAACAAAATGTTGACCTGTACAAAGAAGGAAAAAGAATTACACAGTAACAAATAACATCAATAACAAATACCTGATAAAAGATGATTAGGTGGACAGGTAACTCTCATGCGATGTTGAAAGCCAGTGAGAAGCCAGTGACTGATGGTCGGGGCCTTTCTAATGTGGAGGTAAATCATTCCACATTTTCGGCGCCACAACCACAAATTCCCAGTAACCTCTGTGGACCAGCCTCGATTTAGAAGTG